ATCATTACCAAAAGAAACCCGTCATTTCATATCTTGTTGTTTAGGCCGGGAACGTATTATAAGTTATATACAGTATTTTACTAATGTTCATTTTAACACTCTACTCTTGTTTAGTGTTGACTGCATTGGTGGTTAGGACATAATGACATGTTGCTGTTTCTGTGTGCTGTAGTTTGTTTGATAGGGTTGGGCTGTTATCTGTTGTCATAACAGTGTAAAACTGACCTATGTGTGCGCAGGCCTTCATTCTCATGTTGAATTGTTTTTTCTCGGAAGAAGCTATTTACCTCACCAATATCAATAGCCAAACCACAGCAGTTCCAATCTGAGTTGGAATCAAACATGCATGCATTCATGGAAGAGTTATGCGTGGAATGCACTAAATGTCAGACAATTAAATGTGTGCGTAGTCACGATTTTACCTCATTTTTTACTTACTCAGTTGCTTGTGCAAAATTTACGTTAAATGTCATGGCTAGCCTGTCAACTGGATGCAAAATTAGACCTTTCAAAGAACATTTTAAGAAGATGTGTGGTGCTGTTGAAATAGCCCTGAAACTGTTTGGCATGTATAGGGAACATTTTATAGCATTTTCTTTTTCTAGGTAGGTAACTAATGTTAACTAATGGACCTTATTGTAAAGTGTTACCAAAATGTCTGTTTTATTTTAGTGTTATAACCCACTCTAGTGGAGTGTGAGAAAACAGCTCTTAAGTAAGCTATATTTGTTTATTATATATTATATTTGTTTAATCTTATTGTATATAAAACAAATCTGTTTTTTAGTTGAGACGTAAGATATTGACCATGAGAAACATAAATACTATAAAGTGTGCTCAAATGAAAGCCAGCTGTCATATAAAATTAAAACATTGCAAATATTACGAAAACGTTATTGAAAACCGAATTTGAGCTGTAGCCTACTTGTAAAGCTATTAGATTCCATAAGCACTGAGCTGTTTCCACTGATCTATATCGAGTGATCCGTCTAAAATTATAGAGATCAGTAGCTGTATGGCAAGCCGTTTTAGCTTTAATTGTACCCAGCCTTACTCGTCGTAATTACATTTTTACTAGTAATAATTCAATTAGAGAGCTCTACAATTCAATTATTACTAGTAACAATTACAATTAGAGAGCTCTCTAATTCAATTATTACTAGTAACAATTACAATTAGAGAGCTCTCTAATTCAATTATTACTAGTAACAATTACAATTAGAGAGCTCTATAATTGAATTGTTACTAGTAAGAATTACAATTAGAGAGCTCTCTAATTCAATTCTTACTAGTAACAATTATTATTAGAGAGCTCTCTAATTCAATTATTACTAGTAAGAATTACAATTACAGAGCTCTCTAATTCAATTCTTACTAGTAACAATTGCAATTAGAGAGCTCTACAAATGAATTTTTACTAGTCATATGTCTCCATTGACTTCCATTCATTTTTAATTAGAGAGCTCTATAATTGAATTGTTACTAGTAAGAATTACAATTAGAGAGCTCTCTAATTCAATTATTACTAGTAAGAATTACAATTAGAGAGCTCTCTAATCCAATTCTTATAGTAACAATTACAATTAGAGAGCTCTCTAATTCAATTCTTACTAGTAACAATTACAATTAGAGAGCTCTCTAATTCAATTCTAACTAGTAAGAATGCAATTGCAGAGCTCTCTAATTCAATTATTACTAGTAAGAATTACAATTAGCGAGCTCTCTAATCCAATTATTACTAGTAACAATTACAATTAGAGAGCTCTCTAATTCAATTCTTACTAGTAAGAATGCAATTACAGAGCTCTCTAATTGAATTTTTACTAGTAAAAAAAACAAATTAAAGATATGTATAATTGCAGAGCTCTGTAATTGAATTAAAGAGCTCTGCAATTGCATTCTTACTAGTAACAACTGAATTAGAGAGCTCTCTAATTGGAATTCTTACTAGTAATAATTGGATTAGAGAGCTCTCTAATTGGAATTCTTACTAGTAATAATTGGATTAGAGAGCTCTTTAATTGCATTCTTACTAGTAACAATTGAAATAGAGAGCTCTCTAATTGAATTAAAGAGCTCTGCAATTGAGTTGTTACTAGTAAGAATTGAATTAGAGAGCTCTATAATTGAATTGTTACTAGTAAGAATGCAATTAGAGAGCTCTATAATTAAATTACAGAGCTCTTTAATTGTAATTGTTACTAGTAACAATTCAATTAGAGAGCTCTACAATCAAATTGTTACTAGTAAGAATTGAATTAGAGAGCTCTCTAATTGTAATTGTTACTAGTCATAATTGGATTAGAGAGCTCTCTAATGGAATTGTTACTAGTAACAATTGAATTAGAGAGCTCTCTAATGGTAATTCTTACTAGTAACAATTCAATTGTAGAGCTCTCTAATTGTAATTCTTACTAGTAACAATTCAATTAAAGAGCTCTGTAATTAAAAATGAATGGAAGTCAATGGAGACATATGACTAGTAAGAATTCATTTGTAGAGCTCTCTAATTGGAATTGTTACTAGTAAGAATTGAATTAGAGAGCTCTGCAATTGTAATTGTTACTAGTAATAACTGAATTAGAGAGCTCTCTAATTGTATTTTCACTAGTAAGAATTGAATTAGAGAGCTCTCTAATTGTAATTGCTACTAGTAAGAATTGAATTGTAGAGCTCTCTAATTGAATTAAAGAGCTCTGCAATTGCATTCTTACTAGTAAGAACTGAATTAGAGAGCTCTCTAAATCAGTTTTTACTAGTAATAATTGCATTAAAGAGCTCTCCTAATGTAATTCTTACTAGTAAAAACTGATTTAGAGAGCTCTCTAATTTAATTCTTACTAGTAAGAATCGAATTAGAGAGCTCTCTAATCGCAATTGTTACTAGTAAGAATTGAATTAGAGAGCTCTCTAATTGTAATTGCTACTAGTACGAATTGAATTGTAAAGTTCTCTAATTAAATTTTTACTAGTAAAAATGAAATTACAACAAGTAAGGCTGGGTACAATTTAAGCTAAAACGGCTTGCCATAGTAGCTGTACCCCAGGCGCCCACGTGATGTCTCTGTTTCCCAGTTAACCTTTACCATAACAACGGTTTGGTCTTCTGGTTTACCACTACTGCGTGGCTACTAACATTTCTAAGAAATCAACGCATCAGATGCCTCTCTGCAGCATTCATCCGATTTAATATGCGAATGAGAAAAACAATGCAATTCATTCTTCTCATGACTAAGCTACTCGCGCGGAATGGTCGGAATGCGTGACGCGGGGCCTTGCGCGTGAACCTGTTCCTGAGCGCGAGGACCGTAAGGACAGGTGGTTTTAAAAGCAACATCAGACATCAGTCAGTCTCGCTTTCGAGGTCGGCTTAAACTTGACAGAGCGTTAAAGTGCTCGTAGTTGCGATGTTTCTGTGTTCTACGTCCGAGGGATCTCCGCTGTAAACACAACACAGGTAAGAACACAGGTGAGATGCAAACTTGTAATACATTAGTGCTACATTCGAGATTTTAAACACAACATTAAAGGGACAGCTCACTCAAAATGAAACTCCTGCCATTATTTACTCAACCTCATTTAGCTTTCAACCCCGTGTGACTGACTTTCTTACGTGGAAAATTAAGATGACACATAATGACAGTCAGTCACCGTTTACTTTAATTGTATAGAAAAGGATTTATTAGAGGCTGTAACTCTTACACTACGGTGTGAAAATAGTAGCATAATTTTTAAGTTTAATGTGGAATTTTGTATTATGTGACTAAGTGAGGATTGAGTGTACGAGTTTGTTGATTGTTTGTTGAATAAAGTGAAAATATGTATTCTGTTATGCAAGACAAATGTCAGACTTAAAATATTATCGTATCATAATCATACAACACTGTTTTTTTAACCAATTTAATTTATTTGCATTTTATTCTTATTTGTTTTGTTATCGCTAAAGGTGTGTTATCACAAAATATATGTTAAATCTATACAGATCATGTGTTGTGTGTACTTTTCTTAGTGTTATGTTAATGAATAAGCTGAGAAAACAAACCCACACGGAACCTCCACTTTCCACTTAAGGCTGCAGTCTGAGGTTTTGTGCAGTTGACATAATCAATCAATCAATCAATCAATCACCTTTTATATAGCATAATAAAATCAACAGCAGTTGGCCATTGTGCTGTACAACAGAATAAATATCTTAAAAACAAGACAGGCCGCAAAGCAAATGATAAAGGGAGTTTACATCAGAAACACCAATTTGACAATTCAACATTAAAATCAAGGACAATTGTAAGCCAGTGAAAACAGATAGGTTTTTAACTTAGATTTACATGACACCTTAAAGGTATAGATCACCCAAAAATGAAAATTCTTTCATTAATTACTCACCCTCATGTCGTTCCAAACCTGTCAATGGAGGAACAGAAAGCTCTCAGATTACACTGTAAGACTTTCGTTCATCTTCGGAACACAAATGAAAATCTTTTTGATGAAATCTGAGAGCTTTCTGTCCCTCCATTGACCGCTATGCAACTGCTACTTCGACGTTTCATAAAGGGATAGTAAAACTAATCCATACGAACAGAAATTCAGATGAACAGATTTCGCAATAGGTTTAAGTTGGTCATGCGGATTTGCCTCTTTGACGAACAGAAAACCAGTTTGGTTTGAAAGTGACTTTTATGTGTTATACATTATTGACAACATAACAATGGGCCTTTTTTTTTTTGCCCATGCAATTTTGCTGATGTGACCAAACCTCTAGTATTTGGATTACCCCCCTTTGGCTATACTTGCAGTACAGTGCAAGATCCCAAATCCTAAAATTCAGTTTATTTCAAGGTCTAAACAAGTAAAAAAAAAACAATATCCTAGATTTTCAATGGGGTTTCAAACTTGTATAAGTGTTCTGATCTCAATTTGTGCAAATTTTAACCTAAAATCTTAATGTTAAAAACACATTGTGTCCATTTTACATCATGAAGAATGTGTCTAAAATAGTTGGCTTAAAGGCTTTTGTTTTTTAACAACTCTGACCATCAAGTTGGCGAGTTCTTTCCTGGCCACATGGGGCTTTTGTTTACTGCAGTTGCTGCATAGCTGAGTGTGTTGTGCACCAGTTCTTAAACTCCTGCCATCCAATCAGCTTCATCCTGCGCAGGCGTCACTTCCTTCCCAATGGATACTGCAGTCAATCTGTGTATTCATTAAAGTGTGTGTCTCCGCAGTGGTCCTATCCGGGATCCCCACTGCTAAAATCCCACCTCCCCCCAGGCTCAGTCCTCCCAGCTGACCCACCCATCCCCCCTTCCCTCACACACCCGTGCCACATGAGGCCCTGCAGTGTGACTCAGTGGACAAACTTACACCAGTCTGAGAGTCTGGCCCAGGCTTTCCCCAGCTGCACACCTCATTTTTTCCAGCGCAAGAGACTCCAAGTGTTAGTTTTTCCCATTCTGTAAAGGTAATCATGCATTTGGTTATTTTCTTGGGATTGTTCTTGTAGTAAACCTGTCATTTCTTTAGTCCTTAAGTACGGGTTTGCCATACTGCAGTGCACCACTGTTAAAGCTCCTAGTGAGCGAGCGTAAGCTCTGCGCTACATGCTGAGTTTGTGGTTTTCGCTTTGAGTGTGCTTGCCTTGAGCACTTGTTACAAGTATGTTGTTTTCTTATTAATGCCTACGGATGTGGTGAATTTTGTGCTCACAGTTTTTGTTTGTGTATAGATGTGCTTGCATATCTATCTATATGCTTTTGGGTGTATCTGGAATTGTAACAGAGGTGTTGATGGTCTATGAAGTAGTATGAACCTTTGATTATCTTCAATGACTGCACAAATGTCATAAAAGTTTGCTTAGTCGGACTTTGTCCTCAGTTGGTTTGAGTTTGTTTCTTTTTTGGACATGTACGTTTTATTACAATTGCAATCAAAAGCTGTCTTTGGTAGCATCATCTGTGAAAGTGTAGTCTTCAGACACATGGTGTTTCACCCCCTCTGGGAAGGTGACAATACAGGGCACTCAGCCCTTTATGGGTGGTCCTTATAGTGTGATGGCAGAGTCTGGTTTATGTGTGTAATAGTCTTGATTGATGGTCAGCTTTAACATAATTGTGATGCATGAGCTTAAAAGGGAAGTTCATGCAGTTCATACAATCCAAGATCAGCATTCTTTTAAAGGGGCGTTTACACACTGACAACTAATTGCAGCTACAAAGCAATCGGAAGTCATTATTTTGTACATATCGCGATATGCATATCATAACGGATTGCAATAACTGGTGTCATGAACAAAATCCCTCACTTGACTGAATAACTTGTGTAGCTTTTGTAGATTTTGTAAGAATCAGTATGTATTTAATTCATACAGTGAAGACTAAGCAGTGTTGTATTTTTACATTTGATTATTCCGTTTCTGTTAAGTCTACACCTTATGAAAGCCTAAACCCCCATTTTACACTGATGTTAAAATGACACTTATGCTACAGTAAAACTGCTGTACACCTTCAGAAGTTGTAGGGATGCTTTCTACTGACAAAAAGAATGTGAAACATGTATGTAGGTTATATAATTTTAAATATAATTTTTTTTTTTTACACACTTTAAGTTGTATCGCATATCGCATTATTTAATGAGTTGTCGCATATCTCGTTTTTATTCAATATCGTGCATACCTATTTAAAAGTTCTTGGTAATTAAAATGAAGCTGAAATAAAATATAAATATTAGATGAAAAACTTTAATTCCGTTAGTTGCCAGGGCAAAATGGCTAATTTTGTACTATAATTACTGAAAATTGAATAAAAATAAAGCAGAATAAACTTATTAAAATGGCAAAAACACATAACAGAATTACTAAACATTTTAATAAAAATGAAAGCTGAAAGTTACTTCAGAATATTAATATAAACTAAAACAGTATTGAGAAAATACTCAAATAACACTGAATCAAGCAACAGTCTTTATTTTACTGTCCAAATACACAACTCAGTTTCTAATTGAATATCGTAAGGGTTAAATATATATATTGTGCATTACCATCTGACAGGTAAACCGTGTTACCTATTACGTTCTTTAGAAATGTAAAAGCTGTTAAACCACCTCCATATGCATTTTAGGCATTCCTGCTATGGCGAATTCGCTGAAGGCAAATGTAAGATTGATGGCAAAGGACGAGATCAGAGAGGAGAAGGAAGGAACTAAAGAAATGAATGACACCCTGGAAGAGCCTGGAGAAGAGGAAGAGGATGAAGAAGAGAGAAAGGCACGGGCCGCAACAGAGGAGACAGCAGCCAGAGAGAGAGCCGATCAGAGGCAGCTCATGACTATAGAGGAGCTGGTGCAGACTGAGAGGAACTACCTGAAACATATGCAGCTCTGTACAGTCACCATCAACAGCAACCTGCAGAAACTCCAGGTACACAAGTTCTCTTGTAATCCCTTTCACCCATTAAATCTTTTAAGGTGCCACACATCTGTTATTTACAAGACCAACTGCCTTCTGTGTTGTATACTGTATGTATTGCTTCCACCACCACTGAAATACCATTGAAGCACTCTATCATTCCTATATTATACATATACACATTTTAATAATCTAATTAGATAATACAACAATTAGCCTCTAAACTCTACTTTAAGTAAATGTGTTCTTGCATTAGTTACAGGCCAACATACTACTTACCTACCTATAAAAACAAGAACTTATGACATGATCAAAAACCAAGCAAACATAGACAACAAACAATATACAAAGAAGTAATATTAAAGAAAATAATAACGACATCATATAATAAGAATAATCAATCCAATTGGGATAATACTTATATTAATATTTGATTCAAACCAGGAGGGAATGGGCCATAAAGCAGAAATGGCTCATAATTGGGACTAAATGATTTTGCTTCTCTCATATTTGAAATGTATAACCACTGTTGGTAAACAAGCTTTAATAATATCATATATTATTGGGTCCCTTGCAGCCTCCTCCACCGAACCTAGAGAACATGTTCCAGCACATTGATGAAGTGATGGATGTTTCCAGCAGACTCCTGAGCCTGCTAGACCAGGCACAGATACATCACAGCGACCCGAAATACCTGCAAACTCTCTGTGAGTAACAGCCGGACAGACTGGAATTTCCAGTTCACTTTCGATTTCTCAGTTCTTTCTCAGTCATGCTGTCTGCGTGTCATGCACACCTACGGATCAACATATTTCTTCCTTGAGCTCATGGTTGAAGAATCCAGAACTTGAATTTCAAGATGAGAATAATGATGTTTGAGGTTTAGAATGTTATGTGTAAATTCCTTTTGTTTGGATCTCTCTTATGCTGACTAAGGCTACATTATTTGATCATTTGATCAAAGGCAGTAAAAACAGTAATGTTGTGAAATAATATTTCATTGTAAAATAACTTTTCTGTTTTTGAGAATTTGAGAATATTTTTTTCTTCTTCATTATGCCAGTCTTTAGTGTCACATGATCCTTCAGAAATCATTCTAATATGCTGATTTGCTGCTCAAGAAGCATTTCTTATTATCAATGTTAAAAACAGCGCTGCTTAATATTTTTTGATGAACAGAAAATTTAAAAGAAAACCATTTATTTAAAATGGAAATCTTTTGAAAAATTATAAATGTATTTTCTGTAATTTTTGATCAATTTAATGCATCCTTTTTTTAAAAAGAAAAAATAATTCTCACCCCAAACTTTTGAACGGTAGTGTGCTGAATGTTGTATGGAAAAGATGTAAATCTTGTTTTAATTATAAAGTATCTTATTCTTTCTCTCAGGTGACGCTTTCCTTAGTCTGTCTCAAGATATAGAGATGGCCTATAAGGAATATCTTGCCAACTACAACAACATCACTGCTCTAGAGAACAGCTACAAACAGAAAGAGGCCCTGTGGTTAGAAATGATCCGAATCATCAAGTCATCTGCGTAAGTTCATAATAAACAACAACCAACTGAGGTTGTGTATGTCTCGAACAACTCCTTGAGAGCACAATGACTTCCTTGACAAATATACCAGTGTATTACCCAACATTCCTTCCATTTTTGACCCCTGATCCCGTCTGTCTTCAGTCCTGATGTGAATGCGTCCACTCTGAGTTTCTTCCTGGTGATGCCGGTTCAGAGAATCGCCCGTTACCCCCTGCTGCTCCAGACCATCCAGAAACACACAGACCCCCGACACCCAGCCTACCTAATCCTGGAGCACACCGCTCACACTGCGGTCCAGATCAACTGCAGGATCAATGAATACAAACGCTTCCGTGAAGTGGGTGAGAACATGCACGCAATTTAGAAAGCAAAGCTGACCGAAGCAAAGTATGCAAATCCATTGATAACAATAGCATAAAAACATGAATGAAATGCTTGAGGTTTTGATTTGCTTGATTATTCTCATTCTCTGACTGTCACAGCTGACAAGTACAAGAAGACAGAGAACCTGACCATCAAGGACAAGATCAATCGACTCAGTGGCCACAGTATTGCCAAGAAGACGGCCCGGTTTAGCCAGTACATAAAGCATGAGACAGGAATGGTGCCAAAGGTAACTGGCATACAGTGATACTACACCGAAGAACAATGCAAACAAAGGACCTGAAATGTTTGGCATGTTGAAAGAACCACATTGTTTCCATAAAGCATCAGACACCATTGCCACATAAGATGTCTTTTTACAAATAATTCTTAAATGATGATTTGTAAATCAATCCCACAGGTAAAGGATGAAGAATATGATGCTCTTGCTGGCTTCTTCTTTGTCCTGGAGAGGGGCGTCTCAGAGCTTCATGATAACATGGAGGCTTATCTCCACCATCTACAGGTTTGCTTTTGCTGTTCTTTCTCTTAATGGCTATAGTTACAAATTAATTTAAAGAGTTGATCTCATTTGTCTTGGTGTTTCCTTAATGTGAAGCAAGTACGCCCATCGATCAAACTCTTCAACATTTTTCATTGTTATTCCAGCTGGTGAATGAAAGGAAAATAATGTGTGAGGGTTGATCCTAGGAGTTGTTTGTAAAGATTTATTTAACCATTTGAGCTCTGTTTCTGTGAACAGAGGTTCCTCAGCTGGAGACCAGAGGAAGCTGATCTTGATCTGGAAGGGGAGAAAACTGCCTTGTTCTCTAAAGAAATCACAGTAGCACTCAGACAGTGGATTTACCCGTCATATGTAAGACCTTAAGGAGATTACAGTTCACAGCCTTCAAAGACATTCCGAGAGATTTAGTTCTTGTGAACTTTCAAACTAAGTTGTGTTTTTGTGGGAGGGAAACTTAAAATCCTTTGTGTACATCTTCAAGCTTTACAGCTTCTCTAGCGAAAATGGGTATACGAATTAAGTCATTTTATTTGGCATGAATGAAACAAGGATGTGAATGGACAGAATGACTGTTTAATATGTTGTACTGTACCTAAAAAAATTTAAGTCTTAGGTCATGGTCATTTTTTTTCTTGGAGATTATGACTGAGCAATCAACACTCAGATGCATGAACTTAACACATATATTAATTTACACATATTGGAGTGGTACAGGGATGATGTAATTAATTTTGTAGGCAAACCGGATATAAGCATCACAATAGGGCAAAGGATTTTCCTATTGACTTTTGGATAATTGCAGCAAATAAGCTCTGTGACCAACAACCGAGATGTTTTGTTTAGGATAACTTTCACAATTTAACACGTTATGAATTTCAAGTTAGTTTAAGTTAAAATACCGGTGCTTTCCAAGACAACAACAAACAAAACAAGACTGTAAAAAACGGAATAGTGAGTAGCAAATTAGCGTGAGAGCGCAATCCCATAAAAGCACCAATGGGAGTGGAAAGTTCTGCATGTGATCTACTGACGACGCGCAAAGTAAAGAACACAGACACAGCCATTTCCATAATGACCAACGCAATCTACCAAGAGCAGTGCAAATTAGCGTCTGGTTTAAGACATGCTTTTTTTTGTGAGTTAAATAAATAGTGCGCAAACACCAGTAAATTGGCGAGCGCAAACCTTAGTAAATCACCTTGCATGATTCCTTTAAACACTCTCCTCCCATAAATTTTGCATCTGAAATGGAAACTCCTACAAATGCATATGCAATAAGGTCAGGCACAAAAATAACTGTCCACGCCTTTTCAGTGCAAATTTTTCATTGTGTGTCTTTAGTAAATCCTGACAGTAGTTTTTTAACACCAAAAGAGGGTTTGTGGCGGTGCAAGCTGTTAGTAAATCTGGCCCTTAATGTTACCGACAACCTCTGTAGTCTCAGTTAGCCACTTGTTAGCAACCGCCTTTTTCAAGACACATAAGCCTTAAAAAGTCATAAAGGGGGATTACTGATGTATTTTATGTTGTAAGATAAAACCTCTCTATATCTTGAGTCACAAATATCTTGAGTTTGTGTGAACTACAGATATTATTTCAGGCATGTATCCCCTAAAAAACGTATTAAAAAACCCATTGACTTTAAAACAATTAAACCATAAGTAATATGTTAACTCGTTAACCAGGTTTTAGGACTCATTCCTCCATACCTCTATCCCTCACTGCCTCATTTTTGTACTTGTCAAATTAACTATGGCATCTTTGACTAAAGTTTGGATCACCAACATTTGTCATGACACCGTATTTCTTCTCTGTGGTGCCTCTATTCGCCAATTTAGTTCTCTCCATTCATCAATGTCTAACCCTGCTGGAACCAATACAGCTGCAAAAACACCATGTATCATGTAGGGATACAAATTGTGCCAAGATCTTTTAACTGTTCACCAGCCATTGAGATTATGGTTGAAATGGTTGCACACAGCACCCTTTTTAGCAGTATGCTTCTTATTTGAGAGGAAGACAGTGGTTTATGTACTATAGTGACGTATGTAAAAATGAAAAAAAAAAAATATCATCGATCAGTTGTTGCTTATTGATTAAATTAACCATCTACATTTCTTGTACTGTATCTTGCCTCCTGAACTTAATTTGTACATCTATTTTCCTCCACTTTTGCTGCTACTAACAGGAGAGTCGTTTGAAGACACTAGTCTTTAAGCCCTTGAGCTCACTGCAAGAGCTGATGGCTGGACCACGAAACCTCATCCGCAAACGTCAAGACAAGCTCCTGGACTATGAGCTAATCGAGGAGAAGAGTAACCTGAGTTTTGAGGAGCAAGCTATAGCTAACACCTACAAGACCATCAACACTCTGCTGCTGACCGAGCTGCCGCAGTTCAATGGGAAAGCCCTTCAGCTCCTGTGGGCCACGCTTGAGGCCTTCAGCTGCCTGCAGAGAGACCTGGCGGCGGATATGGAGCAGCTCGCCACCAGCTTTACCCATCAGGTACTTTTTACAGGAAAAGATAAAACACTCAGGTTTTACTAAAGGCTGAGGACAAAATACAGTGAGCTTTAGTTCACACTTATAGTTTGGTTCTCGTGGTTCTTTTGTTTCGGACCAAAAGACCAAATGATACATTTAGTCCTGGTTCACTTAGCATTCACACTGCCATTTTTAAAGCAACACTAAGTAGGATTTTTTACCTTCAAATAATGTTTCCAAAATCGTTTCAGTGGTTCATCAAGTCGTGACATGGTGAAATGCACTTATGCCAGCGCTTTGCGGTCCTTTATCTGGTATATCCACGCTATGTAAGATTGACAGATCGGGTCGCGTTTCTGTAGTTCTAATGAGGACAATTCCGCTTCCAACCTGTAGGGCGACCGCAGAGGAAAAGTTCCTTGGTGTTGCTTTAACACTGAATCTAAAACAAAAAAAAATTGGTTTCATGACGTACATTTTGGAACTTACCGAACATCCAAAACTATGTTGCCTGCTGGGCTAAATGTGGTATTTTTACCAGTTGAGAACTTGTTAAGATCTTATAAAATGTGTAAAGGAGTCAAAACAGCGCCAGGAATTCCTTCACACACACAAACAAAGATCTGCTGCCAGGACAGGGCGTTTCTGACACCTGCACCAAACTATAGTGGGCAACATAGCTCCTATGATTAGAAAAACTATGATCAGATCTCCGTTTGTGTTTGTGTTTGTGACGGAGGGATTCCTGCTGCTGTTTTGACTACTTTACACATTTTATAAGCTCTTCACGAGTTCTCAGCTCCATCACATACCATCATATGTATGCACATACACTCTCAGAAAAAAAGGTACAAAAGCTGTCACTGGGACGCTACCCTTTAAAAGGTTCTAATATGTACCATTTAGGTACCAATATGTACTCTTTAGGTACAAAGGTGTACCTTTTGAAGAATTACCGCACCAGTGACAGCTTTTGAACCTTTGTTTCTAAGAGTGAACAGCAACCGCATTTGGCACAACACACAGCATTGTTTTGGATGTTTGACTAGTTCCGTTGCAAAATATACGTCGTTTTTTGTTGTTTTGTTTCTTTAGGTTAGGTATTAAAAATGACAGTGTGAACGCCAAGCGAACCAGTACTAAATGTGTCATTTTCTTTTTTGGTCTGGACCAAAAGAACCTAGAGAACCAAACTACAAGTGTGAACACACCCTAAATCGAACCAAACCTGAACACACCCTTAGAGATAACCAAGTGAATATTTAATTTCTACAGTGCCTAATTCCCATGTGAATAAAAATGTATAAATGAGCCTACTACTTTCAATCAGATCCATCATCCTATATTTATTTTTTTGATCAAGCACAAAAACTAAAAAATAACAATATTAAATCAGCATAAATTATACATTTACAAATAAAATGGTAATAATTTTTTTCACATGAAAATATCCCAATACAAAAAAATCTTAATGGGTTAAAACATTACATTTTTTCGTTATGCAAAATTTTATTTATATATTTTTTTTCTTTTGATTTTGGAGTAAATTATAACTTGTTCATTGACATGTTCTTGGACATAGGTTTCACGAGATTCACCTTCACAGTCATGTAGTTATGTCATCCTCATGATTACACTTGAATACCTATCAATTTCAGGAACAGTTAAACGTTCTGTGCAATAATCCACCACTGAACGACACTGCAAGCATGTGGTTGGAAAAGTGTTATTAAATTTAGCTTTTTGCAGACTGCCAGTGTTTATGAATTGCTCTCTGTCTCCTGGCAGCTCCCACACAGTTATTTGGAAGCTGGTGAGTTCTGGAAGTGGGCAGAGACTTCGGTGCTGGAGGGTTCGAGGAGGATGGAGAGCCTGTGTCAGAGTGTTCAAGATGAGCTCAATGCTCCCATTGTGCAGGTCAGTTCCAACACAGAGACGCACTATTGTCTGTTGCCGGGTGGAGACGTCTTCCTACGGGACACTTTGTCCCCTTACTGCAGTTTAACGGTGCCTGTGGACAGTGTTGGAATACAACCATAGCTAAATGCAGCCATTCATTCATCTTGATGTAATTTAGACCTCATGTGTTTTACATCAATTCATCCATTAATTTCGAACATACCGTAGTAAAATATGTCATGTCCTGGGGTTACTGTATTACGGGTGGCCCTAAACAGCTGCTTTTTATTTAGTCAAATGCAAATGCAAATTACAGCAAAAATATACTACCGGACAAAATGGTAGTGTATTTGACCAAAAATGTTGGGGACGGGGCTTGATCATGCCTCAGAACTTGATTGGTTTGTGAAAACTGAGCTATGATATTTATGGGTCAAGATTAATTATCAGAAAAGAAAAGCTGTTTGAGAGAAGGTGAAAGTTTTTTTTCCTAATGTTCACTGATGACTCAAGGAAATTAAGACTAGAATAGACTAGAAGTCCATTATGATTTCATGTTGTGTAAATATTTTAATATCATCGTCTTTTGTCAAGGTAAGCAGAGACAGCACCATTGTCATGTTTCATGTTTCATACTTCTCTGTCTGTCATGTCATAGGCATTAGACCATTACTTCAGCTAATGACGCAAACAGATGATATTACCCAGAGTCTGAGCGTTCAGGTTCTAATCAATATCATGTCTGCCATCACTAAGAAATCAGTCCTGATAAGTTTCGAGTGAAGGTAGAAGGATCAAACAGAGAGATGGCCTGTAATCTTCAGAAGTACTGCGTGTTTCCTGAAAGGGATCTAAATGTAGATCACCGATGTACATTATTGGAGTATTTTCCTCTCATGTTCATTTCCTTTCTCAGTTCAAAGTGATCCAGCACTGTAATTACTGCACTTCATGTACATTCTAAATGTAATTTATTCAGCTGCATGCAATATCATGTTAAATTTGATTAGGTACTAAATAAAACATGTTTTTCTGTTTCATGTGACGTCTCAGCCGCCCACTCCCGCGTGTGAGCAGCGTCTCAAGGCTCTGAACGCTAAGCATGGCTCGGAGAAGATCTACCAGCTGACAGGCCCTGTGGTGGGCACCCGTGACCTTGACCTGACCCTCAGTAAGGGAGAGCTGGTAGCTGTCGTCAGTGAGATGGACACGCGAGGAGACCGTCGCCGCTGGCTGGTTGATGCAGGAGGTAAAACTGGCATGTGGAAACCTGTGGAGAATTAGGTCATAGTGCATTTAAAGACAACTGAGCTGGAATCAGTTTATACTTGAAGATGTATTATTGGGTGAACAAGATTGATTTGATTCTCTCATATACTGCATGCAAATGGGCCTAAGAACAAATTGGAAAAATAGTTATGCAAATGCAAACAAAAGGTCTTTTCTTAAATTAAACTTGCTTTAATGCTCAGAACAACCCCTCTGCCAACATAGATTTCACGTTCTCTAATGCAATATAAAATCCATCTGATTAAACCGCTTCAAAGCAAAATATATAAGCTGGCTGATAATACAAATTATACTTACTTTAATGCAGTGATATTTTCATAGCGTGTGGCATCTACAAAATGGAAAGATTAGGTCTAATGCAGGGTTTCCGTTGTCCGGTAATTACCGGACATTGGCCGGGAAAAAAATGAAATGTCCGACAAAATTAAATCTCTCCGGTCAAATTGTCCGATTAAAATTGCGTAATAATCCCGCCCCCCTAACACAATATGAATTTGAGAATAATTCTAAAATGTATAAAGCAAAAATACACCGACCTTTGGCTATGTTAAAGGAACAGGCTCTAGGGTTTGAAAGTTATAAAACAACATCGCATGCTGCATTTCAAATAAAGCGCACGCCTAGAACGGCTGTAATATAGACCTAAACAACGAATGATTGAGTGAGACGTTTCAGATATGGCGAGGCCCATTGATATTATTGATAAAGTTGATAATTTGATAAAGTTGACGATGCAGACTCGCCATCTTCGCAGTAGTGAACGCGCCTATAGAGAGAAGTGTGCACGCGCCGGCGCCTCCGGGTCCTGATTAGCCTATATTGTCCACTATTGCTTCTTATTTATTAATCCAGGCAAATTTGTTGATGAAACATTGATTAAAATTAATATACAATTTATACAAAACGAAATTTCAAGCAAAAATAATATTCGAAGATCACTGGGTTGATTATTATTCGAAAATCGCAGCCCTCCACCACATGCACGCACACATGCATTAGACTACACACCAGAGCATGAGCAAAGCGGAGCGGTGTGACGCTTATTATAAGTTAAAAAACTTAAATATACGTTTCATATTTATAAATAATATAATGTTATTATTTTTTTTTTCATCTATGTTGATTAAGCTATATGAAAAGGGAACCGCATGAGATGAGTAAGATAGGATCATAAGATGACCAACAGGCCTATATATCGGAAAACATTTGGAATTGGTCAGACATGATTTTGACCACTTATTTAGTTTTGTTTTGTAGAAAGCCTTTCTTTAAAGTTTATTTCGTTTTGTATAAATTGTATCTTCATTTTAATGAATGTTTCATCAACAAATTTGCCTGGATTAATAAATAAGAATTTATTCATATGAAGTGAGCATTTCTCTCTCTAGGCGCGTTCACTACTGCGAAGATGGCGAGTCTGCATCGTCAACTTTATCAATTTATCAACAATTTAAATGTTTCATGCATAATCATTACTTTCGCCGGTTATTTGTGGCAAGCTTTATTTCAGGTGTTGCGTGATATCTCTGCGCCCAATAACAGTGCTTCGCCTGTGCTGAGTCTCCGCAACAGCGATAGATTGAAACGCGCGTCCGAGTGAAGATTGCGCAAGAAGCTTGATTTAAAAAACAACTGATTTTAGCGCTAGATCTCTTATTTAATAGCGAACTAAATGAATGATCTGCTAGTTAACTGGATATGTTTTATTTATTTGTATTAGGTACATCCGTGCCTCAATGTTTTAAAAAGTGAATGTGTGTGAAACCATAGTAAAAAACAATTGGTGTTAATTGACGCCAATCGGACGTTCATGGTTTTTTCCGTCTATTTGAAAGTTAGGCTAATAATAACATGTTGCATTCTATACGGCCTGATTATGTCATTTTTTTAATTAACATAGCCTGCCTCGAGTCTTCCTCAACTTGACTAATTAAGAGGCGATATTTGACCGGCATTTTATCAAAATGTCCGTTAAACGAAACCTCTGTCGGTCACTTTGACCGGCACCATTTTTTTCTAGCGGAAACTCTGGTCTAATGACAATAATGGAGGTGTACTGTAATAATAGTTAATCTGTTTGAATAAAGTGGTGCTAGAGAACATACTCTAAATGTATTTTAAACATTCATATTTTGTCTAAAATTGCTTTTCATATCATTTCGGTTGTACTGCTTAGTAGTTTATGTTTTGATTTTAGTACGTTCCTTGGACCCAGAGAGGTGAACATAAATCAACCAATCTGATTTTAGCTATCGGTTTACAGTTAATGTCAAGTTCAGGCTTACAACAAGGGTTAGGGGCTTCTACACTTCTATACTTCTATCACTTCCCTCTTGATCCTTTAAAGGGATAAATTATGGGTTAGGTTTAGGGGTAGGAAGAGGGTTAGGACTATGTTTTTGGACAGGAATGTTGTTCTGGGATCAACGCGTCTTATTTTATATATGTGTGTGTATATACACTCACCGGCCACTTTATTAGGTACCCCATGCTAGTAACGGGTTGGACCCCCTTTTGCCTTCAGAACTGCCTCAATTCTTCGTGGCATAGATTCAACAAGGTGCTGGAAGCATTCCTCAGGGAGTTTGGTCCATATTGACATGATGGCATCACACAGTTGCCGCAGATTTGTCGGCTGCACATCCATGATGCGAATCTCCCGTTCCACCACATCCCAAAGATGCTCTATTGGGTTGAGATCTGGTGACTGTGGAGGCCATTTTAGTACAGTGAACTCATTGTCATGTTCAAGAAACCAATTTGAAATGATTAGAGCTTTGTGACATGGTGGAAGTAGCCATCAGAGGATGGGTACATGGTGGCCATAAAGGGATGGACATGGTCAGAAACAATGCTCAGGTAGGCCGTGGCATTTAAACGATGCCCAATTGGCACTAAGGGGCCTAAAGTGTGCCAGGAAAACATCCCCCACACCATTACACCACCACCACCAGCCTGCACAGTGGTAACAAGGCATGATGGTTCCATGTTCTCATTCTGTTTACGCCAAATTCTGACTCTAACATCTGAATGTCTCAACAGAAATCGAGACTCATCAGACCAGGCAACATTTTTCCAGTCTTCAACTGTTCAATTTTGGTGAGCTCTTGCAAATTGTAGCCTCTTTTTCCTATTTGTAGTGGAGATGAGTGGTACCCGGTGGAGTCTTCTGCTGTTGTAGCCCATCCGCCTCAAGGTTGTGCGTGTTGTGGCTTCACAAATGCTTTGCTGCATACCTCGGTTGTAACGAGTGGTTATTTCAGTCACTGTTGCCCTTCTATCAGCTCGAACCAGTCTGGCCATTCTCCTCTGACCTCTGGCATCAACAAGGCATTTCCGCCCACAGAACTGCCGCTCACTGGATGTTTTTTCTTTTTCGGACCATTCTCTGTAAACCCTAGAGATGGTTGTGCGTGAAAATCCCAGTAGATTAGCAGTTTCTGAAATACTCAGACCAGCCCTTCTGGCACCAACAATCATGCCACGTTCAAAGTCACTCAAATCAACTTTCTTCCCCATACTGATGCTCGGTTTGAACTGCAGGAGATTGTCTTGACCATGTCTACATGCCTAAATGCACTGAGTTGCCGCCATGTGATTGGCTGCTTAGAAATTAAGTGTTAACGAGCAGTTGGACAGGTGTACCTAATAAAGTGGCCGGTGAGTGTATATATATATATTAGGGGTGGAACGGTACATGTATTCGTACCGAACCGAAACAGTACGGGCATCACGGTTCGGTGCACGAATTTACACGGAGAATACACGGTTTAAAAATAAATAAAACTCGCGTGCAAATTACTTAATGTAATGCGGAACTACCGTTAGATACGCGGGTTCTTTAGGGACACATAATCTGTACCATCGGCTTAGCTCTGAACGCGCGTTCACTTCAAACGTTGGCTTTATACGCGCGTCCTATTCGCTTTGGACTAGCGTCGAACTAGACGCGATAGACGCGAATTTAACGCTCTATTCGCGTTTGCTGTGACCGCATAATGAACAGGCTGCGATGTCAAGATTGCAATGCTGGAGTGTATGTGTGTGTGTGTGAGAGAGAGAGGCGCGGCCGCGATCGAACAGTGGAAACATAAAAAACATACTCCGTCATTTTGTAATACAGATCATTAAACCTGCAAAGTGTTTACTTATATTTGTGTACACTCGCAATAAAACACAACATTGTGCTTTTGTCACACTGTAAACTCTTGTCAAACTGTAACCTACAACTGTCACCCAACCAAAATCACACACACACACACACACACACACACACACACACACACACACACAGTTTTAAAAGCAAAACATAGGCCTATTTATCCAACTCCATTTCAAAACAGTCTGTAGGTCCCATCTTTTAGACATTCATCATATCGCATTGGTTTTCATTTCTCGTCCTCGGAGCACTAATCTTACACATTCTTCATTGATTAAAAGAGAAAATCGAATGCGTTTTTAATGGTAGTATTATTTTATACAGAAATCAATTATTTAAAATTCAGATGAGAATAATGTTACATTGTTAATTAATAATGTTAATTAAAAATTAAGGAAAACAAATATATTTATCTGAAATATAGCAAATTAATTTTAAATTAATTCAGGTACAATTACCAAACATATCGCAAGGTCTTTTTGTCTTTTTATTAATTTAATTAATAAACGAATTATATAAAACTATTGTCAGTGCACTACAAATAAACTGGTTCTATGCCTTTATTAATAAAACTTATTTAAAAAATACAATGCCTTCTGCATTTTTGTTTTGCTTTTCCCTCCATTGTACCGAAATCGTACCGAACCGTGATGTCTGAACCGAGGTATGAACCGAACCGTGACTTCTGTGTACCGTTCCACCCCTAATATATATATATTAGGGCTGGGAAAAAATTAATCGTAATTAATCGCATCCAAAATAAAAGTTTTGTTTACATAATATATGTGTGTGTAGTGTGTATAATTATTTTGTATATATAAATACACACATATGCATGTATATATTTAAGAAATATTTGCATGTATATACTGTATATATATTTATACATCATTTATATTATATATAAATATACATATTTTTATATTAATAACACATTTTTCTTAAATATATACATGCATGTGTGTGTATTTATATATACAAAATAATTATACACACTACACACACATATTTTATGTAAACAAAACTTTTATTTTGGATGCGATTAATCACGATTAATTTTTTCCCAGCCCTAATATATATATATATATATATATATATATATATATAGCTCATCGTGAATGAGTACACCCCCTTTGAAAAGTAACATTTTAAACAATATCTCAATGAACACAAAAACAATTTCCAAAATGTTGACAAGACTAAGTTCATCTAGTACTTTTTATGGCCTCCATGATTTTTAAGGACTGCACCAAGTCTTCTAGGCATGGAATGAACAAGTTGGCGACATTTTGCAACATCTATCTTTTTCCATTCTTCAAGAATGAGCTCTTTTAGAGACTGGATGCTGGATGGAGAGTGATTCTCAACTTGTCTCTTCAGAATTCCGCATAGTTGTTCCATTGGGTTCAGATCAGGAGACATACTTGGCCACTGAATCACTTTCACTCTGTTCTTCTTCAGAAATCCAGCAGTGGCCTTAGATGTCCTGTTGGAAAAGTGCACGACGACCAAGGGCACAGAGTGATGGTAGCATCTTCTCTTTCAGTATAGAGCAGTACATCTGTGAATTCATGATGCCATCAATGAAATGCAGCTCGCCGACACCAAAGGTGCATTATCGCCACCAACTGGGCTGGAGTGTCTATTATTCAAGCTCTCAATGGAAGAATGTACGGTTGTGAGGCGTTCGGAAAAATAGGTCTACAGTTTTACAACGAATGGTAAAACACCTTTTGCAGCGATTTTTGTGTGAGCATATCAGTGAACACCCCAGAGCACTCGGTGAGTTTCACGTCTTTGTAAACTAAAGTTTTATGCGTTTTATGAAGGATTGTTCCTGTGCACCTACCCTGTAGGCTACCATTGTAGAGGTGTGGGGGTGCTACCACAGAAACTTAAAATTCTCGGGACAGCAGCATCTGTCTAAAAAACAATCTTAACCATTCTATTTCATCAGAAACGATCTTAAAACAGGGCTTTAATTGTAAAATACCGAACTTGTCCTTTAAAAATAACAGGGTACATATCTATGCATTTATACAGTAATCTTTTTAACAAATGTGCACTGAAATCTAAAACAATTGCAACTTTTGCTTAAATATTGGGGAAAGATACTCGTTTCATGTAGTTGTGCTTGTTACCCTCTTGTTCCATGTAGTTACAGGGTAAGTACAATAAAATTACATACACAATCTTATATCACTGACTCGGAAACCTTTATTTGAAAAACTGATAATCAAAGCTTTGCTGATCTTCTTGTAGCCTTCACCTCTCTGGTGTAGAGAAATCTTTCTCGGGTCTTGTGACATTTCTCTTCCATGTGGTGCCATTGCTGCCAGCATGAAATAGGAAGTAACACCCTTTCATAGTCGACTGTCTGCTGGACACATGTGATGAATAATTAGACTCACCTGTGGTTGAATTCTTGTTAAATTAGACATTTGTAGTATAAAATTTAGCTTTGCTCCAGACACTTTCAGTGAGATGTACTCATATTTGCATCACCCTAATTTGAGTAAAACTGAAAAGGTTGTTCTCTAAGTTATATCATTAACCTTACTTTCATGTTATAAGTTAAACAGATGTTATATAAAACTTAATCTTGACAACATTTTGGAAATAGTTTCTGTGTTCATTGAGATATTGTTTAAAATGTTACTTTTCAAAGGGGGTGTACTCATTTACGCTGAGCTCTATCTATCTATCTATCTATCTATCTATCTATCTATCTATCTATCTATCTATCTATCTATCTATCTATCTATCTATCTATCTATCTATCTATCTCAACAGCTTTCAGCAGCAATTGTTGTACTGGTAATACTATCTATACTGGGTATATGACAGCTTTCAGCAGCAATTGTTGTACTGGTAATACTATCTATACTGGGTATATGATATTTTATATAAAATATCATATACCCAGTATCTCTATCTAAAAAATCATATACCCAGTATAGGTAGTATTACCAGTACAACAATTGCTGCTGAAAGCCGTTGGTAATGCTATGACTGACATCTGCTGGTCAAGTACAGTTAAAGCACTCTTTCAAATCAGCTTTCATCAATCTGCAGAATAAAGCTAATTAAATATGCGGATTTGAGTGTCTTGATAGGACTTTGTTTTTCATTTTCTTTTAGGCCCGAGAGGATATGTGCCTGCTTCAAAACTGACACGCTACCACCAGTTGACTGTTGACCCTCCACAGTCTCCTCATCTGAACGTCGTGCCCACGGGTCCAGGACCCCGAAGACACTCCTACACACCCGGAGCCCAGCCGCTCCTAAACAACGTGTCCACGCCCTGTTTTCAGGTGAGTGACACACACAGGCACAGACATGCGCTTTGACTGACGGGTCATAAGGCCGCCTAGTTATTGGGTCTGATTCGTGTGTCAAACAGAACGAGAGCTTTGGAGATTGATGGCAGGTTTGCAGTATCTCATGATCATCAATCACACACTTCAGCATTTGTGAATTCAGTATTGGAAGAACAGAAATGAACTGCCGCTCCTTGTCATCACGGCCACCTACACACTCACACACACTCGCGGCACACACACGGCACCCACACATACACGCTCTGATTACTCTGATTCAGTCATCTCCTTGATCTGACAGTCAAATGGTTCCGTATCATTTTAGCTTCATGTTTAGGAAAGCAGAAATGTGGGAGGCAGATTTTGACTGTGGGAGATGCACTGCTGTTGTGACTGTAAAAATGTGATTCATTTTTCTGAATAACCTTCACGGGTTATATATCATTGTGACTGTGACAGTGCAGAAATTCTCTTTCAGCTTGTGAGAAAACACGACTGGCTAACATTTACGGCTCCCAGATCAATTATATATCCAGTTTTTGTAGTCAATTGGATTTTTTATAACTTTGCGTTTATAAAGCATTGTTTTTCAAAAGCAATATTTTCTGAAGAGAATGTGAGTTGTTTGCCCATGCAGAACTCGCCGCAGTGGTGTTCTGGGTTAGCCTAGAAATCTAGACGCACCCTAGCGGCAGCGAAAATTATTTCGCAGCCAGTGTGGTCTAGCAACTCTCCATAGGCTTTTGAGCTGGAAAAACCAAAAACTGGTCAGGCCAATCACATCGTGTATAGAGTCGGCGGGCGGGCTTAACACAATGACGGCACAGTTCATGACGTTCCGCGTGATTTCCATTGGTGATTTCCCTGCTACTTGAAAACAATGAAGATGCCGCGGTCTTTCGAATCGGTCTTGGCCGCGACTCTGGAGGACTTGGAGTTAAGAGAACGTCACTTAAGTAATTCTTAAAAAAGGAAGATGTGTTCGGATTTTTGCCGTCCTGATACGGCAAAAGTTTAATATATCAATTAGCTCCGCTGGTGGAAAAACGCATGGGACTCACTCATCCACAACCGTTCGTTGCTCTGGTTGGTTGTAGCGTTATCCTATTGCGTGCAGAGGGATTTTGAAAGGTAACCGTTTACCCCGCCCCTCGGATTGAGGCATGTCAATGGAGAGTTCCCAGACCTAACATCTTGATGTAGGTCTGGCATGCCAGGCTAGTTCTGGGTGGCTTTTAGCATATTTATGACGCTGCTTATTGGCAAAAAATAATCTCCCTAGATATGATTTAGGGCTGTCCTTAGCATAAATGTCTGAAAAAGACAAAAACAATCTATTCATGTATTATAAATATACCATGTATCAAAACATATATACACAATATTTGTATTTATTAGTTAGTCATTAAAATATATTAGTCTAGTTTTAGTTTTATGTTAGTCTTTTTAGTTAATGAAAATGTTGTTGTATTTTTTGTTACCAATATCACTGTGTAAAGTCGGCATAAAATGAATATCCTCCCTATTTTTTTTAGAGGTTTGTTCAAATCCCTGTGAGAAGGTGTGATCAATAGTGATGCTAGCCTTAGCAAACACCACTAATGAACATGATTCATAAAGCACTATGGGTATTAGCCACAGGGGGGAGCACTTCATCTAATTTATCCTTTCAGATTTTTTTTCCACCCAGCTATTTTTATTTCCTTATGAGCTGTAATATCATAAACATCCCACTCTTAACACTTGAACATGTCTCAAGCACATTGTGTAATACTAAATACCTCTCAACTTTCAAATCTAAAAATATGCCCCATATACTCGACAGCACTCAAAAAACACAAACGTTCTCTAGACAGATTTCTTATTCGGTTTTGCTATTTGCGTGGGTTTTTCCATTGGCTGCGTTTACACTTGGCATTAACATGCGATCACCGTGATCCGATCAAGCAGATCGGAACATAAGCCAATCAGGACACGGTGCGTTTACACCTGTCCTCATCAAGTGGCTTCTGTATCTGGATAACAGATCTGAAGAAGAAAAAAGGATGGTTCCGGTGCAAAGACGACCTGAAGTGGTGGGTTTTCTTTTAAAAAGAGTTTTCAGTCGGGGGACATTTTACAAATCTCGCAAAATGAGGAGGATGAAGAGGCTGCAAGTACTAATATTGTGGATAGATGCCGTAATGGAAACGGTTCAGAGAAACGTATGGGTCCGAGAACGTTGCCAGCTGTGGTGGGAAAAATGTGCGTTCTTTACAGAAAATGAATGCTTCTGCAACTTTCGGGTGCAGAGGCAAACATTTCAGTATATTTGCAATGTACTTCATACTCGACTGTATCGCAAATCCACACAGTTACGTGCAGCAGTTCCTGGAGAGAGGAGGGGGAATAATGACAGTGGGCGGGGTTTGTGTGACGTCCACCTGTGAATGCAGACACGATGGCTGGATTGCGTTTACATTACACTGAGATCCGATCACAATGCGTCCTCGACTACCTCCGAACCTGGACACGCTGATCGGACAATATTCCCATCAGAAGCGTGTTTACACTTGTCTTTTCAATGTGTATGTGGACAACATCCGGATACAAGTTAATGCCAAGTGTAAAAGCAGCCATTGACTCACAGAACTCACAGAAAATAACTCCTCTTATTATAAGACACTTATTATTTTCTCCTCCTATTTGCAGGTGTACGCGGGCTATGACTTCACCGCGAGGAGCAGTCGGGAGATTTCTCTGAGGGCTGGTGAGCCGGTGCGGGTGGTGGAGCCTCACGATAAGCGTGGAAACAAGGAATGGAGTCTGGTGGAGACGCGTGGCCAGAGAGGCTACGTCCCCTCCAACTACCTTGCCATCCTCCCCTCTGTGATCGCCTCACCCACCTTCCCCTATCGCTAGCTGTGGATAATATCCATGACATAACATCATCTGCTGCTGCTAAGAGTCTGCTAGCCAGTATCCAAACACACACAGACCATGAGAAGCACTTTCCCTTTAGGGCTCTTCATACGTGAGGGGGGCGGATGGCTGCTGTTTGATGCGTCATTTGACTGGTGTATGTACTGGAGTGGTGCTTGCGCCCTGCTGTGGAGTGGTCGTCCATATACTTGATCTCCGCTTTGCCCAGGACTGTTACTGGTGGAGATAGTTTTATCCAATGAGGGAAGAGCTGCAGGGGCATGCAGAGACATGCTGTTGTAGCGCACAGCTACTGGTGGAGTGTGCTGTTTCCTAGACTTACCGCTAGGATCAACACCTCAGCCGCCCGTTAAATGATGCTTTGGGCTGCCCTGGTACTAACTTGTCTGCTTCACTGTCTTACTATTGAAGAAACTGAGAATAAGGATTTTATTTTTAAGAGTCAAACCTCTTTTGCGCTGGTTTCAGGTTTACTTGAGATGACTAACATGCAGACTTAAAGACAAGATTTTACAAAATATTCTTACAAAATTATTGCTTTTGTACCATTTTAGTAATACTTGATGGACAGTTTTATTGTTATTTAAATGTATACAGTGGATCTAAAAAGTATTTGTACACTAAGGACACAAATTCCTATAAAATAATACATGGCATTAATGTATAGATAACAAAATATCAATCCAACTGATAATAGATATATGGTTCAATATTAAGGCAAAAAAAAAAGTGGTCGACCAATATATTGCCTATGCCAATAATTGCCTCTTTTTTTTTTAAATATTTCCAACAGCTGAAGAGTTTTTTCTGTTTGCCTGATAAATGTTGGCAGACTTTTATTTTGACAGTGATGAGAAGGCCTTAGGATCTCCTGTTCTCCAAATTGGATGCAGAAAGGAGAATTCTGTTGTCACTGGAAACACATGAACGACAAACTTTTAAGTTCTTTAATTCAAACTATGCTGTGCTATATATAAAATTAGCGTCAGCAGGTCTTTATTTGAGAAAATATGATTCCCAGTACGTTCCCAGGAGTTTTCGTCTTGCGTCCTTTTTGTAAAAAATACTATAATATGATTACAGAAACAAGAAGTTGCTATCTATTGTTTTGCAGGTTTACTTTTAAATTAAGTTCGCAAATTTTTATTTCATATTGATTAATTTTCAAAATACTTCCAATTTAGTAAATATTACATCAAATAAATACAAATTTCATTCCAATATGTGATATTTACTATCTTTACATTAAATGGTATGATATCATATAAATCGGTTTCATATCAACCATTGGCCACCCTGCTCTCAAAAAATATCAACATTGAGATCAACCATTAAAAAAATCAATATCAGTCGACCACTCAAAAAAGGATAGCACTTTATTTTACAGTCCTGTTCCCCATGTACTAATGTAATAACTGGTTAACAACTAGGTACTAACCCTGCCCTTACCCCTAAACCTAACCTTAACCCATGTAGTTACCTTATATTACCTAGTACTTTCTTAGGTAAGTTCACTGTAAGTACACATATGTGCATGTACTATAAAATAACGTGTAGTGATACTTTCTAGTTGTCAAACATTAGTAGTTAATAGTTAATGTGATGAAATACACATGCTTATGATTTGTTTGCATGTGCTGGTTGGATTGATATTTATTTATTAATGCAATGGCATTCATACATTTTTAATTGCGTCTTAAATGTCCAAATACTCTTTGGAGCCACTGGGTGGTGGATATCAAAGACACTGTATGATGTCGAATCGTTAAGCTATTCTTTTTGCTTGCATGCAGATTCAGAACTGCATTGTTCTTGTGTTGCTCACTTCATAACCTCTGTGATGAAGGACTTATGGAAAGATTCAAACGTGCAGAGGATCTGCTGCAGTGTCCGTCATAAACAACTGTCTGACTGCAGTTGCATCTGCTGTCCACCAGAGGCACCAGAGCATCCTCTGTGAAGACTCATGTTACCTTTACACTCAGTGTTGGATTTAATCCCCCCCAAACAGAATCATGTATTATTCATCTGATCTTCACAATCGCCTTAACAGGGATCCATCTCCCAGCTGCTTTCCTCCTGGTGATACTACCCCCTGAATATGGCATCATTTGTTTTGTACATATATGACTTTGAAGAGATATTTATTTAATTTATTATTCCTCATTTCCACTCTAAAATTGAACTGATTCAGTCTTGAATTAAGCCTTCAGAACTGTTGAAATCTATCTCATATCTTCACATGTCTGTTGTTATTTTGCGCAGCTTTAACTGAAATCTTCTACCTGACCTCGGAATGCTCTATTTGTGCCCAGCCGATTAAAACACTGACGTGAACAAGGCTGAGTGTTTCTGTCTACTGCAGAGGTTTCTTTTGGAGATGTGCATTGGGTTGGAGGCTGCTTTTAGCCCAAGTGCAGCTATTCCTCTGAGAATGTGCAAATGTCACCACGGCAGGGCTGATGATGACTCTGTTTTGTCGTGCTGCGGGCAGAGTAGACACGCTGCGGTTCATTGTCCGAAGAGAGCACCACCTGTCAATCTCTCCTACTTCCGTTAAGAGCTGCTTGTCAGCTAAGCTTTGATCCTCTGAACGCCTACAGCTACTGCTTCCTCTATGCGACAGAACTCAAAGCTCTATAAATACATTTCTCTATTCAATGGTCTAAAAATAGCCGCTTGTCGGCAGGATCCCTCTAGGTCGCCCCCTGTAGGAGCTTTTGGGAACCGCAGCTGCTGTTCCGCTTCCTCCTCTGGGAGGTGGCGTCTCTCACATTACATCAAATCGTGCCCTGGTCCTTCTCTTCGTCTTCCCTAAAGAGCCATGGGGAAATGCTACGGTAATTAGATATATTATGTATCCCTCACAACATTACATACTATGAAGCATTTCCTAGTCGGAGAGCAAGCAAACCTAACACCCCTATTCTAACTCCCTGCTTAAGATGTCTGTTTGTGTGTGTATTAGACGGAGAAGGGAGGATAAGCCATGCAATAGGGGTTTATAAGTCTGCAGTAAATATTGGTTGTCTTTGTGGCACTGAACAACCCTAAAGCTTTTTTCATTTTCAGTATTTTTGTCTTGGTTTCCAGAAATGGTATCTTTAACATCTTTAAAACAAAAATGTTATTAAAATAGATATTAAAATATTTTCACCGATCAATGGCTCAAAGCTAACAGCATTCAATGGTTAAAATGGAAAAATTGGGGTTGGGGTAAGAAATTAATTAACATATATAAGATATATTCATGTAAAATAAGTCTTACTGCCTTAAATATAGCACGAGTTAATATTTTACTAAAAGAATGAAAAAAAAAAGTTATATGAATTTCTAAATTCATTGCGTTTTCCAATAAATATCTAAACTGTGTTAAAACGAGGTGCATTTACAGTACTTGAGAAGAATATATCTTATATAATAGCTTATACTTTTTTGTTTTAAGCATACATGATGAAAACAAGAAAAAAAACTTTTCCTAATGGGTTAAGAAAAATAAATTCACAATATATTTACTCAAAATAAGTCTTAATATCTTTTGTAAATATTATCTAAATGTTATATTATTAATTTTTGGTAAATGTATTTTTAATTATTGTAAGTAAATATGCATTTTAAAATGTTTTACTGTAAAACAAGACAAAAATACTTATTAAGATTTGTGTCTGTAGGAGGGATGGATTGGTAGCAAATCTTTATTCAATATCCAGGAAGACTTTTTGTCCCTGCACAATCAGGAATCCTCTTGCTGCCAGAGCCGGAGGTTAGCAAAGAACAGCTTGTGTAAGTTGACCTGTCAAAAGCTGCTGTGTAGAAACAGACACTGTGGCCTTGTCCGGCTTAATGCTCAGAGTGTATTTAGTAACCTTTTTGGCGCTGGTGTCATGATTGTGTTAGAGCTGTCAGCTGATCTGTGGCACAACCAACTTTAACCCACACCAAAGCTTGTCTTGGCTAGTTGTTAAAAGCAAAGTATAGGCGATTTGTTCCAGACAACGTTTTTTTTTATGCTGGTTGAAAGTCTCTTCACATCCTGATAGCAATCACTATGTTAAGTGGTCTAAATGTATTTATATGTATACCGTATATCTCATCTGAGGGTGTAGAACCATAAAATATGTGTCCAATCATTGCATTCGGTCCGAATCAACATATATATTTTCATACCCTTCACACGTCATCAGTACGTATCATGCTATGAGTTAGACAGACATCAGTCACCGAGCACCGAAACTGAAACAGCATCCTGAACCAAAACAACGAGCTTATGCTGCGCTCTCGCCATAATTGTAATTTGGAAGAGCAGTTCGTGACTTGAATTTATGCCTTTCAATGGCAACACTATCAATGCTGAAATTAAGTCAGGTGTAACAGGTCGGTGCTCTTTACACTAATTATGAATATAAACAACTTAATGTTATGTGCCTTAAGACATGAGGTAGTTTAATGCCGTCACACGTGATGATTTTTGCTCCCTGCTGGCCTGTATCTCATGTGCTTTGAAGGAGGTGTGGTTTTGGAAATGCTCTGAAGGGAGGGTGGGATCTTATGCTTCCAAAGCTAACTTGCTATTGTTAGCCTACCTTTTAAGCCCAACTGAAGCCCCTCATTACGGAGGTCTTGGTGCACAGTTTACACTCCAAGTCCCTTGCGGTCCCAATGCGAAATGCAGGAACACTTCTCAGACACCTCCTGTAGTGACCTCTGAGCGTGTCTGTGTGTGTGGGAATGTAGACTCAACAGATCACACATCTGTTTATAGGACTGAACTCTAAGCTTCTTAAGTTCAGAGGTCATGGTCATGCCTGTCTGACATTAGATGCTAGTGTATTTTTAGAGGGTACGATGTGGAAAGTCTTGACATTTTTACATGGAGATAAGTTGTAAATCTCGTCAAGTTATAAAGCTATCTTTTTCAAGTCGTGTGCATAAACATCATATTGGCAAATAGAGATGAATGTGTTGACTTTCTGTTGACCTATACATGCACGCTGGGCCGTTGAACTTTAGTCCCCTTAAATCCTATTGGCCTTTTAGTGTGAGACCAGGTAGTCATGGAGCCCGTCCAGCACAAGCAGGCAAGAACAGATCCCAAAAATCTGCTCACTGAGGATCCAAACATGGGGCCTCCATTTTGCAGTGGTCTCTGATTTTTTTTCCGCAGATTGGCATAATGTTTTCTCTGGATATCGAAAAACACACTCCCTTGCCCTGCGAAATGTTGCACCGGAGTGTCATTTTCCTTGATTTGTGTGTGTGTGAGTTCTGGGGAAGAACCATGTTGGGCGCCACAACCATCAAACTTGAGACTTGCCTCATTTTGCAGCCACATCTATTTAAACCATGCATATGTAACCGGCATATAGATTCCTGTCATTCTCTCAGATCTCTCCACCTTTGCTCTTCCCTTTCAAGCTCTTGTAAACACTGTTGGCCTAGAATGTCAATGATGTCAGGCATCAACAGGGGGGCGGAGAAGAACTTTGATATTTGGAGAAAAGGGTGGGACGGGGTTTGTATATGTTTTTAGGGGTCATGTTCACGAGTGCTCTAGTTTGTAGCGCATGTCCCCTCCGGTAATCTGATGAGAAACTTAATCGCTCTTGTCCGATGATCAACTTACAGGCTGGCAATAATTTTTAAGATATGAATTTCAAATGCGTCGCGGCTGAATGCTTTCATCTGAAACGCGTTTCTGTGTGCAAGCTTGCAAGCACATCTAAATTGACCCCTTCCAGTGTTAGAAACTGCTGTGGTCAACAACAACAAAAA